AGAGGCAAAAAAGAGAAAGGAGACAGAGAGACACAGAGAGTCAGCGAGAAAGAGGGAGACGGAATGAAAGGGAGTGAGACGGAGAGGGATAGGGGAGGGAAAGGGGAAAAAAGATTAATAGACAGAGAGAAGGTGTGTGTGTTTGCGTGTGTGTGTGTGCGTGTGTGTGTGTGTGTGTATGTTAATACTTATTTGATATATTTTTCTTCAGTTGAGAATGTTAGCAGACATCCACTGAGTGAGTAGTGTGTGTGTGCGTGTGCGTGTGTGTGTGTGTGTGTGTGTGTGTTAGTGTGAGGAAGAGATACAGTGACAGAAAAAAAGATACAAAGAGAGGGGGAACTGTAGTGATTGTATTTTAATGTGGGGTTGGGGGGGGGGTGGCACTCTTGTCGATGCTTTTTCCGAGTCGTTTTTACTTTTTATGTAGGTCTGGTCATCGAACATCAGATCTATCTCTTGATCATGTTGATTGGAGGTAAAGGAAGTTATGAATAGGCAGGCGCGGATCCAGGATCCAGGGGGGGGGGGGGGGGTGGAAATTTAAAAACCACGCAGACCATTATTTAAACTCAACACACCAATACTGACAAGGTCATATTAGAATCACTGTACCCGTATCTACAAGCAGGCACAATTTCGGAAATGGGGCAGGCTCAGGTAACATCTCTTGTCCGATATCAACATGTCCCGTTTTCAAGTTATGTTCGCGCGCAATTTTGTTTGCTCTGTGTGCCCATGCCTTGAGCCATAATGCATGGGCGTTCAGAGGATTTTTTATGTTGGGGACCGGGGTAAAATGCAATAAATTATTGAAAATTTATTGCATTTTCTATTTTTTTAATTTTATTTATGGAAACTGCCCCCTACCCTAGCCCCCGCTGTGTACAGTCTTGGTTCAGTAACAAAGCAATGGCCTCGTAACTGTGAGGCCCCAGGATCAAAACCGTGTCAATGTGCTATATTAGTGCCCTTTTGTGGGGCGTTAATCCTCATTACTGTCATTTATGACTTAAGGGCGTAGGTCCCCTATTTGATAAGCATAGTAGCATACACATGCTTTAGCAGTCACGCAAAACACACATTGGCAAATTGCTATTCAATAAAATCTGAGAATGTATACTATTACCTAGATTTATTATTTTTAAATTATTTTTAAAATAATTCCATAAATTGGGGTAAAACAAAAATATTCCAACTTTATGAGCGACAGTGTATCATACTTTGCAGTTGGGTGTAACGGTCTGAATATCCATTTGAATAGAGCGCACTTATCTGAAGTGAAAAGAATGAACTTCTCGTATCTGAAAAAGGTCATTTACCAGAAATGAAAAGGGGAACTTACGAGAATGAAAAGGGACACTTTTCATAGGTGAAAATGGGCATTTATGAGAAGGGAATGGGGCTCATTTTTTAAATGGCCTTTATTTAAAGGAAAAGGGGCCCTTGTTAGACAGGAAAGGTGGCACATGTGTAAATAAAAGGTGCGCTTATCCGATTTAAAAAGGGGTAGCTCTAAAAAGGGAAAGGGGCACTTTGGGATACCTGAAAAAGTTTGGGGGGCACTGTGTCCCCGACCCCTGCCCCCCCCCCCCCCCTGGCAGGCCGCCTCTGCGCGTCAGTAAATCATCCCCTACGCTAACAACAGATCTCCTCCACTGCATACTACCATGGATAAATCACGGCCAGGGTCGTTTCGCCCCCTCCCCCTGGATCTTCCACTGGGTTAGGTATACAGTTTAAGGTCTTCTGTTGCCTAATTAGGAGCTCGGTTTGCGAACGAGATTGACCGCGGAACAATTATTATCGGAACACGACTGTCGTACATCCAATAAATTACAAGTAAATCAGGCCTTGAATAGGTTTATCATAACTTTCAGTAAATAAATAAGGCAGTAGCAGACTGTTTACCCAATTATGGATAGTAACGATCTAAGGAAAATTATTATCTTCCTCGAACCCCCGCCCTCCCCTCTCTCTCTCTCTCTCTCTCTCTCTCTCTCTCTCTCTCTGTCTCTCTAATCTATTTTGCTGTCTCTCACTATAGTCTAGATTTCTTAAAACCTTCTCTCCCTCTCTCCTCAATCTGTTTCCCTTTCCTCGTGACTGGCACCCTACTGTCCGGCTATTTAAATATTCCCTACACACTTGATTCAAGGCGCCAAAGATGGCGTTATCAACGAACTCATAATTATGCTCACCAGCCCTTTCGTCGGGCGTAGCAAGTAAGTAGGGAGTGGTAGCGTTGGTGTGGTTGAGATCTATCAATATTAAATGGACTAATGGCACCCCTAAGTTCAAACAAAAACCGGAACAAGTATAGAACCATGGACGTTGGAGCCGGAGGTATCATCTAGGGTACACTACAGCACCCCCTGAGTTTGATTGCGCTGGAGTGAAACATCTATTTCTTTCTCAACGTACACATAGTTTCTTTTCTTTTCAATTCTCTCCCTAGTTGACAAAATAAAAGAGGAGAACACAATATGACCGAGAAAAGAGTGAAATTCTTAAAATCTATTTTTTTATCGGGGTACATAATTACCTACATGTGAGATAATTTTCATAAATTATAGATTTGCACAAAACATGACAGAACAATTTATCTGATATCTCACTACAGCTATGGAATGTAGTTTATATTTTCCCCATTTATATTTTTTTATGTTTGTTAAGTTTTCTTCTTTCATTATTAGTCTACAACATAATTTTAGCACTACCGGCTCCTTTCCCGTTTCATAAAACTGATCATCAATAAAAACGGTCACATTACCGTGACAAATTCGCCAATTAAGAGCCAATCAAACGCTATTCATTTCAATAGATTATCGCAATTTTAGTATCTTGTTATTGATAAAAAGTTTTATGATTTAGGGAGCTGATCTAATAATAATAGTACTAATAAAAGCAATCAACATTTGTATTGCGTGTTTCTTTAGTTACACGTGAAAATAATATACACAGAAAACCTTAAGAACTATGATAGGCCTATATCATTTGCAGACGACGAGTAAGTTATAAAGTTAAGGTCAACTTTAAAGAAAAGACGAAATTAAGAATTAGTCCATATTCTGGCAATTTCAGATATTCTGAGTAAAAAACACTTAAAAGATGAAGGCACATTATAACATAACAATCACGTATTCGTAAAAGACGCTTATGCATCTATACTAGTATGATAACTGTTTACAAACGAATATGATAACCAGACACAACACTCTTTTAAAAAGAAAATGAACAACGAGTAACATTTTGAAGAAAAACACGTACTTAAAATATAGATTCCGGCTAGAAGAGCATTTAAATGATATGATATTTTGTGCTTCTATACATATTCCCGGATTATTCAAGAAGGCGATGCAAATTTGTGAGTTTGCAAATGCACAGTCAGATGTTTCCCCAACCAAAATGTAGGCTTAATGAAAGCTTATTCTATTTTCTTAAAAGTTCAACAACAGTTCCATATGAACTGATTTCATAAATGAAAATGGTCTATGGTATATTTCTTAATATTGAGTTCTATATTATTTAAGCTCAACACTCGATGGTAGAACAGTGGTCTCGTAACCGGGAGGTAACCGGGAGGTTCCGGGTTCGAAACCAAGTCGATGCGCTGGTGCCCCTAAGGCATTAATCCTCGTTACCAAGTTCCTCGAAGAGGATTTAAAACTATCGGTCCCCTGGTTGCTAACTTTCATATGCTTTCGTAGCAGTCAGGTAAAACAAACAAACAGACAAACAACGGTATACTATGTATCACGGAATTTGCCCCCACATGGCAAGTCCAATATTGACATTATCAAACTCTATTTGCTATGAGGTAACGTCACAAAACCTAACAGTGACCTTAAAAAACTAGTTCAAAGAACTCTTCATGATCTTTCCACTGACCTCTACATTCTGGATAAATTACGTGTGCAAAGATAAGACTAAGAGTAATAAAGTCTACAACAAGCTTCCATAAGCTTATTCTCTGAAAATAATCTCACATAAATTCAGCGAAAATTGAAGAAGAAAAAGAAGCAATTAATATTAATTAAAATTTTAACCTGTATTTAAGTGTTGCAATCTAACCTCTACGCTCCATTACATGCATTTTGAAAGACGGTATCAAAACTTAATTCATCTGGGGTTTCGAAAATCTGAAGAGAAATCATAGGGTTAGAAATATATACACCTGCTTTGTTTTTATTAAAGGACAACATCAATCGCTGATGCAATCCTACATCAGGCAAATGACGTCTTGCGTCAAGCTTTAATACAAAAGTTTGTCTATACTTTTGATGCATGAAGTTCTTCTTTAATTCTTTATAATTTGTTTAGTAAAGACGGCACAATTATCAAAAAGTGACTCAACTAAAGACGGTATTATTAGAGAACCTTAAAACCCGTCGCACACGAGGCGTTATTTGCTGACGTTGTGTTGCGTCAGCGACTGGCGCTGTATTTGGCGCGCCATGTATGGTTGACATCGTACAAATAATGCTGTATGAATGAACATAGCAAACATTCCCTTGAATTACTGACACACGCGTCATATTACCTTCATAATACCAAACGACTGAAACGACGCACTGTTTGCAAAGGGCGTTAATGTTTGCAATTTATATCGGGTCATTATATGCGGGAACCTGTGTAATGTCCGTTGCATACGAGGTGTAATTTGTATTACGTCATTACCTACGCTAATCAAGTCTATAACGGTAATGAATGCATGCGTCAGTAATTCAACGCAATGCTTCTACTGGTCATGTTGCATCACCCTTTATACGCTATCACTCTTAAATGGTGCGTCAAAGACTGTGAGTCGCTGACGCAGTCCTACGTCAGGCAAATGACGCCTCGCGTGCAACGAGCTTCAGACGATTCATGCGTCAACATTAAAGCCCGTCTGTACTAGTATGGCCAGGAGGGGTTAGACCTTCCAGTGTGGTCATTGACATGTGGTTATCTCATCAACTCAGCTCTCAATTAGCGTTAAAAAAGAGGATCATGGGGGACCAACGGGTACCGCTTAGACATTATTTTCTATATAGAGGGAGCTAGTTGCTAAAAGTAGTGCAGTGGGGCTTAAAAGAGGTTGGCTGAGTTTCCAAACTTTTATGAAAAGTTGTTGTAGCCTCTCCCAGGCCCCTTCTTTTTCCTATACAAGACGACGACGGCAATGACGAGGATGAGGATGATGGCACCGAGAACCAACCCAACGATGACGGCGGCATTAGGACCACTTGGAGGACTCTCACACGAATAGGCTGCAACCGTATCAGGAGAAAAATGTAAAATAATAAATAGAAATTTAGTCGAGATAATGATTCATGTTTTTTTAATGGATAGTGGTATGAAGAAAAAAATCTATAAAGTGCAATGTATCATTATCATCGTTATCTTTGTTATTACAATCATTAAGTTATCAGTGTTATCTTCTTTCGTTTTGTTTAGTTATTTCCTGCGTGGTCACACTGTAGCAGTAGTCGTAGTGGTAGTAGTAGTAGTAGTAGTAGTAGTAAGCAGTCCTGGTAGTAAGCCTAGTAGTAGTAGTATGAGTAGTAGAAGTAGTAGTAGAAGAAGTAGTAGTAGAAGTAGGAGTAGTAGTAGTAGTAGTATTAGTAGTAGTAGTAGTAGTAGTAGTTGTTGTACTTGGAGTATAACATATCTCATGTTTTCTTACCTTTTCCAAAGTCATGATTAGCAAACGAGGCAAACGGCTGGAGTCGCAAGTCTTCTAGCGTGAGATTGTAGGTAGCGCCTAGTGAAATCATCTGTTTATTGCACTGATAGCTGTTGCCAACTGGAGTCGCAAAAAGGATCTGGACATTTGGCACGGTTGTTTGATCTGAAAAAAAAATATAACATGACCTGGCTACTTACAAGGTTTACGATCCACTTGTAAAAGTATCACTGAAAAGTGAAATAAAATCCATTTTGTACTGAACGTCATTCCCTTTCAATTTTTCTCATGCATATCGATCTCGGTCATTTCTGCATGGCGGTGTCATGGTATAGCGGTTCATTCACTTGAAATTTAATTCAACGACTGAGGGTTCGAATCCCAGCCCGGTTCTAATTTTCTTTGTCAAGACATTAATCCACATTTGCCGTTCTCTACCCAGGTATTTAAATAGGTACCCAGTAGAATGCGAACGTTAATGTAGTTTGCTCAGCGTGAGCGTCTGTAAAATGACGCCTGGCTTGAATGTTCCCCAAGGTGTACAGAATATGCCTTACTTTGTGGGTGGGCAAGCCTGAATTCGATGACCGGAATAATATTATATCAGTTAAACGCTTTAAGGGCCATTTACACTTGCAACCAAACATGCCAAAAGATGCCAATACGGGGCCTGACCGCGATCTTTGGGTAAAGTTTGCTAGGCAACAACGCCAAAGAGGCCATTCCATAAACATTCTAAGCCGGAGTGTGATTTTTTTTTAAATATCCGCGTGATGTTTGGTAATGTAAACGGGAGCAGCTGAAAAATCGCGATGTTTGGCACGTGACCTTCAGCACTTCTGGATTGTTAACAATTTAATGGCAGGGCCAGGGTACAGAAAGTCGGGAAGACCGCACATGCGCATTACCAACCAAAACACGCCAAAACAATACTGAGCTTTAATTCAGTCGGTAATGTTTCAACGCAAGTGTAAACGGTAGGGAAAAACATCGCGATTTTTTTTTAAAATGAGGTATTTTACAGTAATAAGCGCTACATTAAACTCAGAAAATTGTTTTTGTTGTTGTCATTATTATTTATGCTAGACTGATACAATTGGCCCCTGAAAATATGACATGAAATAAAAGTAAGAGAAAGCTCATAAAATCATCTTTGCAAGAACGCGATCTTGCCTTTAAACTTACTATGTGTGATTGATGACGAATACAGATATGATGTCTCTTTGTCCTGCATGACGAAGCTGAGAGTGACTGAGATATCGGTCATGTTTTCGTCTTGGAACTTGAGCATGAAGTCAGACTCGTCATCATTGCACGATGACGAGTCCGCAGCAGCCGTGGTCGGGATCAGGATGGGATCCTATATAAAGAGGAGAAGAATAATGGAAGTGGGACAAAAGACAATCAGGGCTTGCCCTACCTAAAAACACGTCTATGCAATCTGCATTCTGATTATTAAAGTATTATTATTCGTAACTTACACACAATTTGTAACGAGGCACTTCACAAAGTCGTATGCATTATGCTTTGTTACATTATGGCATATTAACACGATCGCAAATACTTTCGAAAAATCATCCAATTTCAGTATCCTTGTTCGTCACCTACTGAAATGTGTGAACATGACGATGACGTATTACGTAATCCAATTTCATTGGGATATAAATGGCGAGTAGATTTATTTTTGAAAATAATTGACATTCTGTTTATTGAAGGAAAAAACCCTCGTATTAAAAAACCCTTGTATTCAAGTCCCACCGCTAATGCTAATGCACTAATGTCTTTTGGCAAGACATTGATTTACATTTGCCACTCTCCACCCAGGTGTTAAATGGGTACCCGGTAGGATGCGAAAGCTAATGTGCTCAGATTAGCAAGTGTGCGCTTGTAAAAATGACGCCTGGCAGGAATGCTCCCCAGGGAGTGGAGAATGTGCATACATTCTGTGCGGGTACGCCTGAATCCGATGACCGGGGTAATTATATATACCTGTAAAGCGCTTTGAGAGGGCCTTCGGTCCTGAAAAGCGCTATATAAGAACTAGCTATTATTATTATTAAAGGGGTTTAGCATGACAGAAACTGGTTAACGCCATCTACGACTTCTTTTGGACAACTGCACGTGTACGAATGGACTTGATTAACGGTCAGCGCGTGCTAGCGTTCGCGAGACAGACCGAAGTTCTCATCATGCTCCGGCTCACGTATGTTGCATGCACAATGAATACTGCGGTCGTACCGCGTAGTCGTATATATCGATTGGCCCGGAGTCAGGCGACGGGAAAGACACGTAGTCTCGTCATGCTACACCCCCTTTAAGCAAAAGAGAATACGTCAAACGTACGTCTCAAACCCGATGCACCCGAGGCGTTATTACACTACCGCCGAACTTACGACATTTGTCTGGGTGATCGTCCCCTTGAAAGACATCTTCATACAAGTCTGATTCTTGGCGCCAGCCACCACGGTCCACGTACCAATCTCGGGCGGAGCCTTGGTCGTCGTCAGCATCGACGTCGTTGGCGGTGCAGTGGTAGTCTGCGGTTCCGTCGTGTCGTTCGACGTCGTCAGCGTTGGCTGAGTTTGTGGCGTTGACGTTGTCATATCAGCTGTGGTGGTATCGTTCGGTGTCGTTCCCGTTGATGGGACGGTCGTCGTTCCATTTGTGACCGCTGCTTTTGTTTGGTTGGTCGTTGTAGAGATGCCAGAAGTGGTTGGCGCTGTTACCCATGATATACTCACACCTAGACGGTTGGAAGTACATTATATCATTATTATTATTATCATCGTTATTATTAACATTATCATCATTGTTATCATTATTATTATCATCGTTATTATTAACATTATCATCATTATCATCATAGTTGGATGAGCGCACTAGCATGTTGCACATGCTCTTTGCTTGCTCTCCAAAAGAGTTAAATTTTACTTGTAATTTGGATATTTCATATGATTGTATTGCTACCACTTGTTTTGTAATAGTACCTAGGAGCCACTAGACAAGTTGCAGTTGGTAAAGTAATATATTTATGTCATATTTCAGTGTAAAAGTATTTGGATAGATTTGATTTTGCAGTATTCGGTTTGCCATGTTCTTCCTATATATCACTGTGTAAGTAGCATCATCTATTGTACAGTGTTTGCCTGGATGAACCTGAACATCTGGATTACAATCTTAGCACAATGGGGTCTATTCATCTCAAAGTCTTTGTTGTACTTTGTTTATACACTTCTCTGACTGACTTTGTGCATTGTAAAGATCAGTCTTTTGTGCAGTCTTTTCATCGTGGAACATTCATCAGAAAGCACTTTCTAAAAAGGAGAATACCATACAGCTCTAACTGCACTGCCTCCTTTCAGTTAGAACTTTTTCATGCCGGAGATGTTCATCCAAATCCAGGGCCCCATATGCAAGATGGATGTGTTTCTTCCACATCCGCCATTCATCGTGCTACTCATCAAGTTCAACGTTACATCAAGTATACCCCAGCTGAACTTCTGAAATGGAGACATTCCAAGGCACAGCTTCCACGGGATATTTGCGACATCATTCATTCTTATGGAATTCACCGAAAGAAAACACGCAGAGGGACTCGAGGTGGCTACGGAAAAGCCAGCATCAGACACGAGAAACAGTCAAATATATCCGTTACACTTCAGCTCTGTACTGTAACTTCACCTATATCCGTGGTCACATCCGGAAGAAGAAGACCAAGACACACCAACGAAGATCGGTCACAAGGATCTAATCGGAACAATTTGATATATCCTTCTCAATATAATCCTAATGTAAAGTCTGGCATAACATGTTCTCTTTGGAATGCTCATTCTATAAGAAATAAGACAGTTGATCTGGTTGATTATATTTGTGAACATGACACTGATGTAATGATTTTAACTGAGACGTGGCTAAACAAAAATGATAATGTTGTCATAGGTGAGTGTACCCCTCCTGGTTATACTTTCCTAAATGAGCCTCGTGACTCTAGTACTCGTGGAGGCGGAATTGCTATGTTGTTTAAAACTCCACTTAAGATGCGTATTAGGCGAAATGATGATCTAGTTTACTCTACATTCGAATGCGTACATATCACTAATAGTTCTTACTCAGTCAATTTTATAGTTGTATATAGGCCACCCCCATCACCAATGAATGGATTCACTAATGCAGATTTTCTTAGTGAATTTGATGATTTTGTAAATGAAGTATCTCTTCTTCCAGGAAAGCTAATTTTACTGGGTGATTTTAATGTCCACTGGGATAATCCCTCTAAAAATGATGTTATTCATTTCTCTTCAACAACAACTGCTGCTGGTTTTGCTCAATGTGTAAATGGCCCAACACATAGTCTTGGGCACACCTTAGACTTGGTGTTTACCCGCTGTGATGAATCTGATAAATCTTTGCTTAAGGATTGTTACATTGATGAAACATGTATGTCTGATCATCATATTGTGTGTTTCACTTTGCAGCTTCCAAAACCTATACCTATGCAAACTGTATCAACTCTTCGCAACTATCGTAAAATCGATAAGAATCAATTTGTTAACTCACTAACTGAGTTGTTATCATCCAAACCAATCAATGTGGATGTTGACCCTTTGTTCGAATGGTATGAATCTGGAATGGAAGAATTGTTAGACACATATGCACCAGCAACAATTAAGACTCGACCTGTAAAGAATCGAATGCCTTGGTTTAATGACTCAATTCATACTGCTCGCCGAGAGCGACGTCGAGCAGAACGAAAGTGGCGGAAATCAAGATCTGATCAGGATCGTGAATTGTATATGAAAGAAAAGAGATATGTCTGTGAACTCGCTGAAACCGCCAAAGAAAGCTATTTCAAAGATAAACTAGCTTCTTGTAGTAGCAAGGATGTTTATCGCACTATTAACTCTCTTTTAAACAAGAAATCAAATCATCTTCCATTCTATGATTCTGCTGCTCGTCTAAGTTATCAATTTTCTAAATATTTTGTTGAAAAAATTGATACCATTCGTGATCAACTTGATAACCTTCCTGTTATGCCATTGCCTGACTTCAATAATACTTTGAATGATGATATACCATCGCTTGAAGTCTTAAGACCAGTTTCCCAAAGTGATCTTATGAAAATCATTACAAGATCTCCTAGTAAATCTGGTCGTTTAGATCCTATACCGACATGGTTCTTGAAAGAGAATATTGATCATCTTCTACCTGTACTCACTAATATTGTGAATATCTCCTTATCATCTGGTATCTTTCCTAAAGGAGCTCATCGTGCTGTAATTAAACCTCTCTTGAAAAATGCATCCATGGATAAGAATAATATTAAGAACTATAGACCTGTGTCTAATTTAACGTATGTAGGAAAACTCATTGAGAAAGTAGCTTGCTCAAGACTAATGGAGCATGTTGAAGCTAACAATCTTGCTGACCCTTTTCAGTCTGCATATAGACCCCGACATAGCACAGAAACTGCTTTGATCAAGGTGAAGAATGATATCATGTTTTCACTTAACTCAAACAAAGTAATTCTTGTGGTATTATTAGACTTGTCAGCAGCCTTTGATACCATCGACCATCATATCCTAGTCTCTCGTTTATCAACGAGGATTGGTATCAAAGGCACTGCCCTAAAATGGTTCCAGTCTTATCTCGATGGCTGGTCAACACAAGTAGACATTGCAGGGGAATTGTCTGCGCCTATCATTTCCAAGTTTGGTCTGCCACAAGGTTCTGTAGTAGGTCCTGTTGGTTTTACAATTTACACCCTCCCGGTTAGTGATATTACTCAGCATCATAATGTGTCATACCATGTATATGCGGATGATATACAGTTATATGTTTCATTTGATCCCAAAATACGTGGTGAATTAGATTGTGCATTGTTGTCACTGCAAAACTGCATCTGTGATATAAAGAATTGGATGTCCATTAACAAGTTGAAATTGAACGACAGTAAGACAGAGTTTTTTATTGCTGCTTCACCACACAATTTCAGAAGATTGCCAGACATAACTCTCACCATAGGAAATATTTCCGTAAAACCTACAGACACAATTAAAAACTTGGGCGCATTCTTTGATGTTCATATGAGTATGAATTCACATATTAACAATGTTAGTAGAACGGTCACTTTTCACTTAAGGAACATATCACGAATTCGTAGATATATTGATCAATCAACTTGTCATCATGCTGTAAGGTCTTTAATTCTCTCTAGACTTGATTATTGTAATGGACTTCTTTCCTCTCTTCCAAAGTTACATGTAAACCGTCTCCAGCGCCTACAAAACTGGGCAGCACGTCTTGTGTTTGAGGTCGGTAGAAGTCATTCAGCTCAACCATTAATTAATTCCCTTCACTGGCTTCCAATTCAACAGCGAATCATTTTTAAGTTACTCTTATATGTCTATAAATCATTGCACCACCTAGCTCCTAATTACCTGTCTAATTGTTTAACTTTATATACACCAAGCAGAAATCTCAGATCTTCAAATGATAACCTCCGTCTAAATTATCCAATTACACGTGTCCAAGCCGGGGATAGGACTTTCACGGTAGCAGCATCCAAAGGGTGGAATAATCTCCCCATGTCCATCAGACAATCTGCCTCTATCGATATTTTTAAGAAGGCTCTGAAAACTCATCTCTTTACATGAATTCTCCTCTATGTCTAATTATTTAATTTAATCAATTGAATTTAATATTTTATATGGAATATCTGATTGTAGCCTTTAATTACTACATGTTGTAAAGACCAATAATATTATTTGATGTTAGCGCTCTGAGCCTTATGGGAATGGCGCCCTAAATGTTCATTGTATTGTATATTGTATTGTATTGTATTGTATTTTTATCATTATTAGTATTAGTATTATTAATTATATCGTTATTATTATTATGACATATCATCATCATCATCATCATCATACCATCATCATCCATTATAGTCGTAGTAGTAGTAGTAGAATCATTAGTAGTATTATCACTACAGTTTCTTCCCCGACTGGTAATAAAGCATGTGTGTACTTGTGAGTAAACATCCAGGGGACCGATGTCTTTAAGTCCTCTCCGAGGGGCGTGTCAATACAGATTAATGCCTTCTCAGAGGGCAATAGTGCATCGACTTGGTTACGGACCAGACCCAGGACCTTAGGGTTACGAGACCACTGCTATACCACTTAGCCATCGCACCTCCTCGTTATCATTACTGTTATTATCAACATCATTAGTATCATTATCATTAATGATAATAAACATAATTGCAATTATAATAATTACACTACTACTACTTGACATCTATTAGGGCTGAGTATGATGATAATGTACTTTTAAAGTGTATCGTGAGCTTTTTTGTCATATTTACAAGATAACAATTCTCCATCATTTAATCCCCCGTAAAGTTACGTGTTTTCAAATTAGTTTTGGCGTTAATTGGGTCAAGTTTAATCGGAAGTCCAAGTAGAAAAAAAATGTACTGATTTGCCAAAACTGTCATCGTAACAACACCTGATTTTCAAATTTCCACTTTCGTCATTTTCATCATGTATCACAAAGCCAACATTCGACTGGAAGTATTGAATGGTGACGTACAGCACTGCGCTATCTTATTTTTCTTTTGCGACACAAAGTCGTAGAGTTTCTATGTTAGTGCTTTCTTATTAGATACCATTCTGCTTAGATAAGAAGGTGATAAATGCGATCTATTATTATTAAATAGAGAAAAATAAACACATCAGAGCCAATGAT